TTTTGTTACGCCGTCAGCGTACTGCAGTTCGCTCGACACCCAAGCCGTTGTAGCACCTGCGTAGGAAAGCTTGTCTCTGGTGACCAGAACTTCGATGCTGGTCTGTTTGTCGGCTTGGGAGGCTGTCTGCAAATCCTGCTTGACCAACAGGTCGTACAGTGCTTTAGCATCAACCACCAACCGTGGTGGATGCTTCAATTTTGGGGTCTTGCTGTCCTCGAGCGCCAGGAAGGGTGACCAAATCAACTTCCAAAATACCGAAGTGTACAGCAATGCGTCCGAAGCTTCGGATGCTGCTTGACTTTCAGCTGCCAAGCTCGACCTCGCCACGCGGGGCAACTTCCAGGAGCGCCAATCGATCAAATGGTACTGACCTTCTTGGCCTTGAGTGACTCCATGGTTGGTCATCATGATGAGATGACCCCCCTGCGATGTGAGATCGGCTCTCGATGCAAAGGCTGCATCGCCGTAGGCAACAAACGTCAAATCTGTGCAGCTACCGAGTTGCTCAAATTTCAAACCAACATCATTGTACTGATTTGCAAACCTCAAACACTTGTTTGCTTCTTGCAATGTACCAACTATTGTTTTGCTCACCATGCCTGCTAGCTGACTTGTTATTGCTTGCAGGCGCGGGCTGCTCTGTATTGAAGGCCATTGTAGTCCTCCAACCATTCCGCGAATCATAGTGCGCTGCTTCTCAGACACTGTCTGCTCAGTTGGAGCCTTCTCAAATGAAATGGGCTTTTGCTTCTCCAGGTAAGTGGTGTGTTTCACCTAATAGTGATGCTCATTGATCCGGTGGATCTTGGCTCCACAGTAGTCCATGTCACAGTTCTCCTCCCATGTCCTGAAGTTGAAGGTCTTCTTCAGGCATTGACTAAACTTTTGGAAGGAGGGGCATTCCATGTTGCCGGTGTCCAGGACGTCGTCCACGTGAAGGCCGAATAGGCCGGAGAGTGGAGCATGCCGAACTGTGTTGCCATTGTCGTCTGTCTGGCTGGTCCAGTGGTCTTCTGGTGCATCATGGTCGTGGACCAGAAAGAGACAGGGATCCAGGGCGTGGACTACTGCTCCCAATTTGGTGATCCGCTCACGAGCTTCGGTGTACCAAGCTCTTGGTGCGTCACACAAACCATACATGGGCTTCCGAAGCTGCATCAACGATGCGCTGTCGTGGTGCTTGTCCATGCCGAGCATTCGGCGGGCGTAGCTGGAAGCTGAATCCACAGTGTTCTGTGGGCGGGGTGCTCTTTGCCCTGCAGGAGAGCCGTGCTGACGTCTGCACTAAAGGTGGCCCAGCCGGTATTGGCTGCGATGCTCAGGATGAAATTTCTTCCCATGCGGGAAAGCGTGGGTGAGTCCGCGCTAAGGGCTCCAGACAAGGCGTCTGGGTCTCTGAAGCCCTGGGTGATGAGGTGAGCTTTCGCCCTTGGTTCACCGTTTGGCCACTTTGACCATTTGAGGATGAAGTGGGCCTTGAGGATGCGATCAGCCGGGATCGTGCCATCGTTTTGCACCATCTCCCAAACATCATTTTGAAAAAAAAATCAATCTCCTTCCGCTTGGCTTCCACGAATGTCAATCGATCTGCCAGGCTCATGTATCGTTCACTGAGCTGGTCTTTTCTTGCCTTGGCCTTGGGGCCGGGCGCTTTGGTGTTTGTTTTGTCTGTGGTCTCTAGGACCTGTTCTGGTGTTGCTGCTCGATGTAGGAGGCGTGTCCTCCGCTGATGTTATAGAACATGTCCATCGCCAGTCGGCGGTATGCTGGAAGGATCTTGAAGATCGTCTGGCCTGTCCAGGTGTGTGGTGTTGTTCTGTCCTTTTGTTGTTTCCAGCGATCATAGGTCTCCTTGTGGCCGGCTGCTCTGGTGACTCGGTCTTTGCTTAAGTAGTGCAGTGGTAGCGGACAGCCATTGGACTGATCACTTGGGTCAAATAAGGTGTCTCGTGGTACATAATGTTTCCGGATGAGCTTGTTGTGGTGCATGGTCCATTCGTCCCTGGCGCTGGTTGCGGCATTGGCGCTGGGCGCTGTGAGCTGGCTGCGCGCAGGGCGCCGGTGCTGGCAGCGCGCGTGGTGGAGACAGGGCGCTGGTGCTGGGCACCGGCGCTGGCTGTGGTCTTGGCGCTGGGCGCTGGGAGCTGGCTGTGTGCGTGGTGGAGACGCCGGGGAAACGAGCGCCGGCGCTAGGCGCTGGCTGCGCGGGTGGTGAAGACAGGGCGCTGTGCCGGGCGCTGGCGCTGGGTGCTGTGAGCTGGCTGCGCGCGTGGTGGAAACGGCAATTTTTCTACAGCTTCGCGATCGACGCGCACGATCCTACGAAAGGGTCCCGCGGGAAATGGCAAAATTGCAACTTTACTACAGTTTTGTGCGATCAACACGCACGATCCTATGTAAAACACACGGTTTCGCCAGCATCTTCTGGACCAGGGCGCCATCAAGACACTTAGAAAGTTTTCCAAAAGTTTTGGCTAGAAAGTTTTCCAAAGTTTTGAATATCTTTGCTATATTTTCAAATGTAATTCAAGTCAAATCAAGTTAGTTTTCTCAAATTAGTTCTGTCAAGCAAAGCAAATCAAGTAGGTCAAATCAAGTAAATCAAGTCAAGTAAACCTTGTCACGCAAGTCAAATCAAGTAGGTCGTCAACTCAAGGAAGCCAAGACATGCAAAAAGAAGTCACGCTAGATCAGGATACGCTAGATGTTGACATATTACTATAGTCAAGTAAATCAAGCCAAGCAAGTCAAGACATGCAAGATCAGGATATGCTGGATGTTGACACATTACTATAGTCAGGTAATAAACCAAATCAAGCAAGTCAAGACACGCAAGAAGAAGTCACGCTAGATCAAGATGTTAGATGTTGACATGCTAGTATGCGCGGAGCTCCTATGAAATGCCCTTCGCCAAGTCTTACGGGAACGCGATGGAATTTCGCGACGACGGTTCTGACTCCCCACGCCCACCCACTCCCACCAGAAGAAAATATAAATCTGGAAAATTCTGCAACATGCGACGCGCAACATCACATAATGATGAAAATACCCAAAAACCCACAGGCGACCTACGGCGTTCTCAGAAACTAGTTTGGACAGGCTCAGGGACGTCACTTACTGGCATACTTCGGTTTGCGAAGGCACTGCGCTCTTGAATTGGCGACGATGGAATCTGCAAAAACCATGGTTGGACTCTGGCCCAGATGGTTTTTGGTTGGGCCCACCTGCCAGCTGACTGATTTGCATTGCTACGCGTGGGTGTTTTTGCTATCTAGAATCTACGCTAATGTAATCTTTTTCATGCGGGCAGTTGGAAGCAAGGCCTGTGCCTCCTTTGGCAGCTCTGCAGCTGCGTCGCATGAATCATGAAGCCGAAGACGGAGATGAAGTCGACCCGTTGTCCTGGTAGACACTCAAACCATTGAAATGGTCGTTTTGCGCAGCCTTTGCGGCCGAAATCGCTAAATTTGCCCGCATTTCGCACGAGACTTCCTCCAGAAGTCACATGTCAGTCTCTAAAATGAGCATTTCATACGAGATTTCCTCCAGAAGTCAAGCTGGAAGCCCCATGGGAGCCCACACATCAAGCAGCCCTGCAAGCAATTTCGCGATTCCAGCCCCTCCAAAATACGTCCGTTCACACGCTAATCCCAATGTCACAGCGACGCTCACCTCCACCACAACTCGCAACCTCACAATTCCCTGTGCCTACCACAAAAATTTACGTGTCCACACGTCTAACACGCACAAAGTACTGCGCCTGCCACGAAATGTGACCCCCGCCACACCTCGCAACCTCACAATTCCCTGCGCCTGCCACGAAAATCGCACTTCCACACCTCAAAACCCGCACAAAGTACTGTGCCTGCCACGCAAAATGACAATATCATATCATGTAAGCTTCAACAAAATCTGCACCACACCACACGTTTGGAATGATTTCGATACGTCCTAAACACACCCCCATCCACCAAAATCGCCATTTGAGCTGAAACTTGTCACGAAAACACAGCTTCGGCGCAATCCCAATGTCACAGCCCCATCGACCACCCCAAAAACATTGCCCTCCAAACGCCAGTCCCAATATAACCACGCAAAAAATTGCGGATATCATCCTCCACGCTTCAACACATTACGTTTCCATACGTTTCTTCGCTATTTCACACGTGTCACAAAGCTTCCACGCAAACCCTCCGAAAAGCTTGCCCAATGGCAGCGGCATCGCGAACACACGCGATAACGAGTCGCGAACAAAAATCTACCCCCAGACCCCTGGAGTTAAATAAAAACCCTTCGCTACGCATTCGGGAAAAATACGCACATAATTCCAACACCCTGCAACGGCACCAACATCCAAGCTACGAACATCCAAATTACCAAAGGTAAACCAAATAGAATAACTCCAAAGAATTCATTAAAAATAATAACATCACATATATTTAGAGCCAATAAAATCGAATATCACCAAAAAAGAAAATTATAATTACTTCCGAACATAAAAGAGAACAATTTTTTTATTACAATTTATAAAAAAAGAAATTTCAATACAATTCGTTAGAATTAAAAGCATTATATATCCATATGCGACCAATATTTTCTAAATAATTTCTACCAAAACAAAAAACCAAATTTTTCACAAAATTATATGTCGAATAAAATCACAAACGTCAAAATTGCCCAAAAAATTGCATATTACAATATATCATTGTTTCCAATTATTCTAAATAATTATCCCGAACAATTATCCCGAAAATCGACAAACATTTAGAATTAATATTTTTTTCAAACATACAAACATATAAAACGTTTACGGCCACGATTACCTTCGGCGCGCGTAATTACGAATTACAAAATGCTATTACCATTACCATTTATATTTTAATAACTATATTTACATAATTAATTCTCCTAAAATATATTATATATAAATATACAATTATATTTGATAATATGAATTTATAATTTCTGTGTAATTATATAATTCATAAATTTATGTTTTAATGATATAAAAATTTAGTCAATATGTCAGGATTCAACAATATTTCTGTAAATAAAATCTTGACCTGGGTTTAAAAGGCCTTTTGTAGAAATGAGATAAAAGCCGAAAACCCTGCCTTGGGAAATTTGGATCGAAATTGAAGTAGCAGGGCGATGATATTCGCGGAAGGAGTAGGATGAACCTGCAAATCATGAAAGTGCACAGAATGGCTTTGTACATTTGTTTTTTTAGGTTGGAGGCCGTCGCTACTGCAGGCCATCACTCTTAGGTAAAAACATGACTGTAATCATCAGAAGTGCACAGAATTATTTGGCCTTCTGAGACAGCATGATCTGGAGGCAACCGTCCTGGGCCTGAGCACTTGTTCAAGTCACACTGCGTGCAATCACCACAGAACCCCTTCACTGTTCAAGTAACGGCCTGACTTTCTTCGCCATGGTCTGAGAGAAGTTTTGCACCTCGCAACTGCTGAGCAATGAATGTTGGAGGTCGTAAGCTCCCAAATCCAAGCCCGCAACACACACTCTCAAGCGCAGACTGCATAACCTGCAACTGCAACGGCTTAGGGCTGCTCGACTGAAGTTAATCGCTTCAAGGGCCAAAACCCACCTTGCCATCTGGCGAGGCAGCTGGAAATACTTCCACAAACCGCTTCTTCGCCTGGTTGTTTTGCGGTTTTGTCGCACGTCAAAGTTGCACTCCTAGTAGCGATGGCCTCCAACCCAATAGCATCCTTTAAGTCTTTTACAGAGCCCAACACATGTTGGATGTCCCCTGAGCCCAAAGCCGAAGCGCCATCTTCTTCCTCAAAAAATAACCGATTAATATTGAATATGTGCGACAAAAGCAGCGTGTTCAAGCAACATTTAATGGTATTGAATGGCCCTGCCATGCTCATGTCAATCCCTCATAAAGTGACTGACTAGTTGGTCGGAAAAATGTCTGCGTTTCACTACAACCTTGTTTAAGCACAACTTTTGGTCAGATATGTTCAAATCATGCATAACCGTACCAGCCAGCAAAACTATACATGACCAAACTTGTAAGTTGCTTCATGAATGCAAGTTACATCCTAAAAGCGCACCTTCCTTTTCCGGCGTAGGCTCCGCAAAGCCACTAGGGTACAGGCGCTCTTGTCGCTGCGTGTTACCATGAAAGGAGCCTTTGAGTCACCAAGCAGCAAATTACCACAAGGAAGTCGTGTTGGCACATGAACGAGGCTTCTGCCAAACCCGCGATCGCAATCTCCGCGATAACCAAAGTCTTGGACAACTGAGAAGAAGCCTCACTGTCCGAAGGAGCACAATATGCCATAATTTGTCTGACAGGGTTGACCAGCTGTCCCGAGCAGAAGACTCTCGAATTCTTCAAGCACTTGGACATGAAAGACCAGCTGGGCCTTAGCAAAATACTAAAAGCGATGGCCTCCACCCTAGTAGCGATGGCCTCCAACCTAATAGCAACGGCCTCCAACGTAGTAGCATCATGTAGTTGAAAAACTTTAAGCGGTTTCAAAAAATATCAAGAGGACAATGAATGGTCGTGCTTAGAGATGCACTGGTGTAGTAACAAGGTGTAGTGACGGTAGTGACCTCTAAGACAACACACCTGCCTGAAAGTGCTGTTAGAAGTCATTATATATATATATATAGTGTGCTTTCAGAAAACACACACAGACTATGTCAAAGCACTTCAAACACGCTATGTCTCCCAAGAACTTGACGTACTGAATTGGAGCTTCTTGAGAATGAACCTGCTCTGGCATCACACAAACTGGCATTGAACTATAGCGCTATACCGGCTATACCCACAATGCAAACCTAGAAGCACAATAATTTGACCTGAAACTCATCTCACCTGCAAACCAACCTTGTTAGCTGTTTTTCCGTTCCAGACACTTGGGTTCAATCATTGGTTTCACGGCTTCACAAGGTTTGCGGCTTCGTGGGTTTCCACTGCTCCGGAATCGAATTCTTTCAGTGCCGCAACGTGGTCAACATGTCGCACAACGACTCTTCGGTCCAAGGGCCGAGAGAGCAGTAGGCTTAATCAAGTGCTACGCTACTAGGGGCTCCTGGCATCGCTACTAGGAGCAAGGACGCTACTACAAGTAAGCTATTAAGTAGGTAACGCTACTAGTAAAGATCAGGCTTCTTCGAAGCCCTCATTTGGTTCCTGGATGTTTAAGGAAGCATGTAAGAAAAAGATGATGTTCTTCTCCTGTTGGAAAGCGCATGGAGCGTTCAAGTTCCTCTATGGGTCCCAAATGGTCCAAAGGGCCGCAGTGCTCAAAGCCTTTGTCTAAATCCCATTCAGTTTGTTCTTTTTCTCGCCCGCTGAATAAAAGCAGGTCAGGCTGAGCTCATGGCTTCAGCCCTTGCGTTTGCAAGTCCAAAAGACCCGACTGGATCAGGAACTCCAGGATCTGTCATTCAGTTACTTTCCCAAACTCGGAAACTTTGAGGACTCAATTTGGACAAGAACGCTACTAGGGGCTCCTGGCAACGCTACTAGGAGCAAAGGACTACTAGGAACATTATAAACCATATTAAAGACACAGGGTCGGCGCAAAACGAGTGCCTTAGGGTCCGGGTCTGGGATGTCAGATGGAAAAGAAGGCCTCGTGGTTGCACAGATCACAGTGTGCCGTTGCTACTAGGTTGGAGCCATCGCTATTAGGTGAGACGGGAGGGATTGTTGGATTGTCGTCTTTCTAATGCATTTGTGTTGGTGTAAGTCTCAGCTTGATGTTCCAAACACAAGTCACAAAAAAAGGCCGTGTGTTCCAAAATGCAGCTCTAACTTGTTGAAAGTCTGAAAATCAGTTGGCTGGGCAACGAGGCGTGAAAAGCTGGCTCAGTTGCAAAGCTACAGCTTCAAGCCGTGCATCCAAGACCTGTTCAAGAGTCTCCTGGAGCAAAATTCCCAAACTCCAAGGGATTACGAAGGAACTTGACGGCGAAAATCAGCTTTCATAAAAACACCTGCTATTCTCAGGGCTCCTGCTCTGGAGAGGGATGGCCTTTCATGAAATCGAAACGTTCCGTCTGCGACTCCAACTGACAAGGCGCACTAGTCGTGCAATGAAACAAGTAGAACAACATGAACTATTGCAAACCGATAGCGATGGCCTCCAACCTACCAGCGACCTTTATAGATATACAGTGTACAGTGTACAGTATATTGCAAAGAATCAAAGTCCCTCAATACAGGAACTGACTTGTCAGGAAGAATCAAAGGTTCTCGATCACCTGGCCATGATTCCTTGAGTTTAGGTCCACAAAATGCGCACGGACAGCCAATAGGACTTCTCACTGGTGGCGGAGCAGGAGATTGAAGTGTCAACATTGACATGCAAAATGCATCGAAATGCCATAGGACCTTGTGTGGCATTTGGTCGGCACTTGCAATGGCGATCAAGTTGGAGCGATGGCCTCCACCCTAGTAGCGATGGCCTCCAACCTACTAGCAAGAAAGTGAAATACAAGGCATTGCATTCTGACATTACAATTACTGGCCTGAACAAACGGAACAGTAAAATTGCAGTCAGCCTGGCCGTCAAAACTAGTGCAAGAAGGCGGCACAGCTGTTCACTCAGAGCAGCCCAAGCAGCCGCTTAAATCTGCATTTTTTCGGTTTCGAAGCAGCGTGGTACAACGCGGCACACCAAACAGTGACAAGAAGGCATTGACTGTGAAGGCGTGGGAACCGGAAAGGCTGCAGAGTTTCACCGAAAGAAACTGGAACAAAGGCTGGCGGGCTGAGATCACAGCATTCTTGTCCTAGAGTCACGTTATCACACAGAGATGGAGATGTTGGACTTTATGGAAAATTCGAAGGTGTATCTAGTTACAATAAGAACTTGAAGTTTTTGCCTGTGAGTTCGCCTATGAATCTAGGATTGCAAAAGGACGCAAATGCAGTTTTTCCGTAACAGACAATCAACATTCCTCTCATGGCAATTTGGGATTCAGAGTCATTGGTGTGGAGACAAACAAAGCCTGTCCACAGGAAGGTTCACAGGTCGGCAGAAAGGCGCCTCAGAAGAGAGAGAGAGAGAGGGATACCTTTGGTGTGAAGGAATGAGGAGAGAAGAAGAGACCTCCCCCTAGTAGCGTCCTCTTGCTCCTAGTAGCGATGGCCTCCAACCGACTTGCGATGGCCTCCACCAAATAGCGTCCTTGCCACTAGTAGCTTCTTGCTCCTAGTAGTAAGGCCAGGAGCTACTAGTAGCGTCCTTTGCTCCTAGTAGCGATGCCCTTTGTTACTAGTAGCTTCTTGCCCTTTGTTCTAGGTCCAGATTGCATATGTGGGAGGTACAGCGCACATTCACACTATATGGCTTACTAAGCGTGGGTGGTTTGTCGTCTTGGATCCTTTGGCATGAACAGCATTGCTTACTGATCAGTGACATCGTTTGGGGAGGATGCCCCTGGCTCGAGAGTGCAAGAGACCAGGAAACAAAGTATGGAGAGTGAGAGAAGATAGGAGTGTCTCATGAACACAACTTTGATGAGCAATTTGTTCCCTTGTGCCTCGAGAAGATGCAAAACGTCAGCAACCAATGAAATAAACAAAGTTTGCGAAAGGGACTATTCTTGGGAGGGTGTGTGCAAGCCACGTTGTTGATATTTACACCAGCTTTGACCCCGTTTTGCCATGACAGCCACCGAAAACAGAGAGAATCATGCGCGTGACAGGATCCAATTCATTGAAAGCCAAGAGAACCCCAACAACTAGCTATTTGGAGAACAAAGCTGCTGCACTCAAGTCCGCTCAAGTCCAAGCCGATTTTGATAACAAGTCTGGCACAAAGAAGAAGAATTCCAAACAGTCCTAAATCCACTTGCGCGAATCAAGCACAAAAGGCCAGGCATGAGAGCTCACCATGTCTCCGTCAAGCTGAGAATGTTGCCAATCGGACAAACGAGGAGGCACGCCAATATGATCGGCTGCTGTGTCACGGACTTTGTCGGATGGTCAACAAGAGAGCAAAACGAAGTGGAATCAAACGAAGTGGAGCTACGCACAGCCTGGCACAACAGGCAACACGAAAAGGATACCCAGTAAAACAAAAATATGTTTTTCTCTGGAAAGGGCTCATGCTGCAGCGGAAACTCTACCCCAAAATCAAAGAAGAGTTTGCTTTCAAGAAGCAACTTTTGGGGGGGCACAACAACTTTTGTGAATGTGACGAATGAAAAATATCACACATGATCCTTGCAAATCGGCTTCAGATTTAAAATTGCTGGCCATGATTGTCCATATGTAGACACGACATGAAAAACTGAGCAAACGCGTTTAGTTTCAAACCTGTGCCCTTTCTGCTTGCCACAGCATTTTTACAAAGGGTGCTAGGAGAGCGGCACATGGTATAGCACTCCAGCAAACGGGTCAAGCCCTGAGCAAGCAACTTGTCGAATAGACTTAGACTTAATCCATAATTCATCCCTCGAAGTATATATAATAGAAAAGAAAACGTGTTTGGGTTGTGCTGGGAAACTACAACCACAATATGGAATGATGAAGGGGAAAGAGAAGCAAACTTGACCGTGTGTTGGATCAAATAATATCCAAACAAACTCAAATTGCATTGTTCTCGCGAAACCAATATACTGAACGCCGCCTTCAAGGAGAAGTCATTCTTTTTGTTGCATGCCTCCACCTAGGCCAAACATCCATGGCGCACACGTCCATTCCAGTCTTCCTTCCTTCCTTCCTTGTTTGCTTGCTTCCTTCCTTCCTTCCTCCCTCCCTCCCTCCCTCCCTCGTTCCACTTCCTCAAAACCTGATTCACTTTCTCAACAAAACGACCCGGAATGAAGGAAAACAAATGGCCAGAGTGCAATCAAGTCAGCTGAGAGTTGCGCCAGAATGGCCTGGCATAGCTCCAACTTCTTCAGTTGAAAAATGTGATACTCGATTTTGCACTCAGGCGCAGGTGTTGGTCAGAAGAGCCCATACACTTGCCCAAACAAACACTCAATGGGGCAAAAAGCGTCAACACAAAACTGCATGGCAAGATTGGCAGCAACCAAGGCCTGTTTGATTTCCTTGTTGTTCATCAACATGGAGTTGTACCTCCATGACCAAGAACAGCATCAAATGAAAAAAACAGTAATTGTATTAATGTGTTTTCAGAGTATCAAAGAACTGACACAAAGTAAGAACGCAACATGCTTTGACATCACACACCAACATAGATCGTGGAACCTGCGGAACGTTGCCAACTTTGACAGAAAATGTGTAAATAAAGTTGAAAAATGACGTCATTGGAGTATTCTTCAAAAAGGTTTCACATTTGAAGAATCTCCGTTTTCGCATTTTGACCCACAACGACCCGGAGATTGGGAGCACGCAGAAGCACACCGCCAAAGTGCCAAGGGCTTCAAAGCTGATACTCCCGACTTGATGATGTATTTCCTCGCTACTAGTAACAAAGGCATCGCCGCATCGCTATTAGGAGCAAGTGCATCGCTATTAGTAACAAAAAACTACTAGGTTGGAGGCCATCGCTACCAGTAACAAGAAGCTGCTAATAAATGGATACTGATGTGTTCCCTCAAGGGCAAGCCGCGCTGAAAAATGTTCTCAGTTCGCCGACTAAGGCCCGCTCGCAGCTTCATGCATGAACGAAACATTCCTGTATTGAACCTGAAGAAGAACTTTGTAGTCCAACATCAACTGAAACACTCGCATGGCAGGAGCATCAACAAACATGTCAGGTCCAGACACTTGCAAAGCCCCAAACCACCTGCGTCAAACCTGGGCATGGCAGCAAGCGCTCCACCACCCACTCAAAGAATTTTCTTTTGCCTTCTTCGGCTAGCGCTTGCCTACAGTGGTTTATAGTCTTGTTATTGCCCAGAGGTCTGTGCCTCCGCTCACTCGCTACATGCTACGCAACCAGAAGTGCTGCCCTTGCAAGAACTTCGGCGTCGCGTACAACGCGACCGCGCGCGTGAACAGCTCAGCCCTCGCCAGCCTTGGACTGCATTGCGCAATATTGAAAAACTCCTGTTTTGATTGGGCAAGGACGCTACTAGGAGCAAAGGGCATCGCTACTAGGAGCAACGACGCTACAGGAGCAAAGGGCATTTAGAAAGCAAGTTAATTGATCGCCTGGCGCTCACGCTGGGGAGCAATGCAGAGCACAGGAGCAGCTCCAATGGAAGTTGACTACATTGAAGCAATGGGAACAAGAAAAGGCAACAAACGCAAGAGTAGAGGCGAACCAGGAGCAAGAAGGCTACTAGGGGCTCCTGGCATCGCTACTAGGAGCAAGGACGCTATTAGGGGCTCCTGGCCTTACTACTAGGAGCGAGAGGGCTACTAGGAGCTCCTGTCTCTCCAACATGCAGCTACAGTTGACCACCAAAAATGGTCCGGGAGTATCGAAGTCTTCCTGTCTACAACCGTGCATTCTGCTGGCTGCCTTTCTTGCTGCAATGCAATGGCCGTCAGTCTTTGAAGAAACACGGTGCATCGATGCGTCGTGCCAAGCTCTCCCCAACTAACCTCGTAGGTGGGCTGCATCCTTGAGACAACCTAAATCCTGACATCCATCTTTCAGGGTATCTTTACTCCGCGTTGTCCTGCTCCTCGCAATAACCTGAGCGCAAAAGCGTTCTCAAGTCTCAAGCTGGCACTGAACCGCCAAGCTCTCTTTCCTGTCAACACCTCATTTTCACCAGCAACACACCTGCTGTCCATGTCACGTCGCGTCTGCCACTCAACTCAACAATGCGTTGCACACGCGCGGCTGTCAACGCACGATCCACCACCACAAAGCTGCCAATCCTCTCACAGGTTTCGAACCCATGCTGCTTCCACTCTCATACTGGTTGGGGTGTCAAAGCGCTCGTAGCTCCACGTTGGGTCGTGAAGCGAGTGGTGTTCGGTCTTCTGCCGTCATGTAACATATGGCTCAATGTTTCTACTAGCGTGGCACTTGTTACTACTAGTAAGGCACCTGTTACTACTAGTAAGGCACCTAGTGATGTGGGATGCTTTGTGCGTGCACCTTGGATTCAGAGGTTGTCTTCGGACATGTAAAATGCAGGCGGATCAGGCTTCCCATAACTGATCCAATGAAGCTAGGTCAACGGAAGGGAAGTTTCTTCTGATGCAGAGCGATTCTCTCGTCTCGCCAAATCACAGGAGGCCTTCCACTCTTTTGGAAAGTTCTTTGGAAGTGACTCCGCTGCACTACTTACTGGTAGATCTCCGCTTTCTACTTAGGTCCGTCAGGACTTGCGGCCATTCCGAACGTACGTACGGTACACCAGTACACCAATCTCCAGTGTGTTTGTGGGTGTGAGACACAAAGGTGGCAAGTGTTCACCATGCAATAGCAGCACATCTCATCCCAGGTAGCATCATTGCCCTGGGGAGGGCACCGTTGCCATCACAAAATCTTTGAGCCACTATACAACTGTCGAATGAAAGGTGGCGTTGCACTGTGTCATCCTTTTGCAGGGATCATGCTGCATATTGACAAAGGGCGACACTATTGGCATTGTAGCTGGTGCCAGAGTTGTCTGTTGTCACGAAAGCTGACCTGAGCGCACAATAACAACTTCATCTATACACACACACACATTGCGTTGAATCAAGAGCGGGATATGACGTGACTTGAGTTAGTCATTTACTCGTTCCCGCAAACAATCCCAGAACACAACATCCGGATTCAAGGGACCAAGAACACCACAAGACTTCACAGTTAAGCTTTCCCAAGACACAACACTAGAAGGGAACAACGATTGGCCAATTCTAATGTTCAAGTCTGCTGCATTTTCTTTGACTTTAATGGAGGCTCAACCCCAAACAAAGTTGGGTTGATTGAATTGCAGGAGGTATGGACCAAGACGGGAAATGACACCAAAAAAATAAGGCTGGGTGCTTCTTTACTTTGAAAGTTCCGCCCACTAAGCCCTTCCATGTGGAGGCCATCTGTAGGCCATCGCTCTTAGGTTGGATGCCATCGCTACTAGGGTGGAGGCCATTGCTATTTGGTTAGTAGCGTCTTTGTTTTATTCTTTGATGGGGTTCTCAGTTCCTCACTGGCAGCACTTGGCAACAGATTCACACAGGTCGATATGCCTGCGCGCGAGGCAATGCTTCAGCATGTTAAGGCAAACGATCCCAACAGTGGCAAGCAACCTTTCAAGGGAACACTATTCCGCATACTGAGCTACCAGCATGTCCTTTGAAGTTGCAAAAACATTCAAGCTGGAACTTTCTTCCATCGTCGACCATTAGAAAGGTTTCAAACGAAAACATTTGCGCCGCCCCAAAATTCTTCCTTTGGCTTGCTCTCGCTTACTCTCCTGATGTCCAAGCTGAAATCTCAAAAAGGATTTGCTTCGGCTCTTTCTTCCAGGCCTGGACCCCACTGCACCCCACTGGGCCCCACTGGGCCCCAAAACACCCGAGTGAACACTCGTCCCGTTCGTTGCCTCATGCCGAGTGCCCCAAAGGCCCAAATGATGTGACTCAGCTGGGGCGGAGTGAACTTTGAGCACCGCTGCGACACCTGCGACTCAGCTGTGCATGAACAGGTTTGTCCGGCATCAAACTCCATAAAAAAATGACTCAAAGTATGTCTTAATGCTCCATAAATTCCAGTACTCAAATTGGGTGTCCACATTTACTTAACTTTTCTGACACCAGAAAAAGAAAAAGGACCAGTAACTAATCCACCTAAGTCAGCAAGCGATGAACATTAAACAGTCAACAATTGCAGTTGTGACTCAACAGGCTCATGTTGCAAACTCGCATGGTTGGACTTAAACAGGACGTTTCCCCGTGCTATAAGTGGCGATGACAGCGCCTTTGATCCGATCTCGAGCATTAATTGCAGGTCTTTCCTCAGTTGCATTACTTGTTACTAGTAGAGATTCTTGTTACTAGTACTAATGCCAGGAGCTACTAGCAGCGTCCTTGCTACTAGTAGCGATCGATGCCCTTTGTTTCTAGTAGCGTCAGGGCATGGGTCTTTTCAGCAAATCAATTGATGGCCAAAGTATGTCTGATCCTTCATTCTCAGTCACAGTCTGATTGCTCACAGCACACGCCCACGTTAGCATGGTGATCTCAGCTGCTTTGAAACCTGAGTGCATTTGCAGCACCACACAACATGAATGCCATCCATAAGCGATGGCCTCCAATCTGGTTCACTGCTTCCTGCGCCAAGCGCCTGACAGGGTGGGCAAACTCGATGGCAACAAGCCTACAGTATCCAGGTTCACACCTCATGATAGGTTCTCGCACGAGGTGGCTCTTCGCAAGCGCCCAAGCCTCAGGCTGTTGGTCCTTGTATTCTTGCAACCAACATGTGTTGCAAAGAAATCCGCCGATGAATATAGTGCAAAAATATGCAAGGCATAGCTACTTGTAAGAATGCTACTAGTAACAAGTGCATCGCTACTAGGAACAAGTGCCTTACTAGAAGTAACAAGAAGCTACTAGAAACAAGTGCATCGCTTCTAGTAACAAGTGCCTTAC